TTATTATTTTAAGGCTTGCGGGCGAAAATTGTCCGAGGAAGATCCAGCTGGAGACGTTGCAGTCAGAGATGATACTGACAAACAGGTATTCGATCATCCCTTATGTGCATAGGTCTAGTTCGACAAGGAATACACTACGTTTCATGAATATAGTACACCCTATCTCTCGCTACTCCAAACGTGCATTTTTGAAAAATGGGTGGTCAGTAATGGATTTCTCGTGACGAGAAACCTCGGCAATGACTTTCTGAAGAAATTTCAATTCCGAGCAACTTAAATATATTCTTCGGAACGAATTTTCACCATTTCACAAACATGACCTTACATCATGTGTTGAGAAATTTCTTTTTGACAAAAGAACCTTCCAAGTTCTTAATAATGGATGTTTCTCCAACAATCATAGGGACCTCGCCGAATGGCAAAAGTAGCTGTTCGAGAACTCTCCGTACTCTACAGAATTAGTAGGACATCAAAGCAAAGGGGTGCCCCATTCATTCGTCGCGCAAGGTAACCCTGTGCCATAAGAGGATCTTCCGCTGAAATTACGTCGCTTCCAAACACAACGGTCAACGGCCCAATCTCTTGGACGTTTTCCACAGCGAATTGGAGACATGGGATTTTGTGACGCTTCCATAATCTTGGTGATGTTCTGCTCGGCTGAGTTACTCTCCAGGTTTTGCTCACGTAAAGCTCCATTTCAGCAAGGTCCTCGTTCGCTCACGCAGCGGCCAAACGTCGCGCGTGGCGACTGGTGCTGCGTTTTTTTTTTGTATTGGTTCTCTTTTAACGGTCCTTGTTTTTATTGGTGCTAAGTTTTTTTTTTTTTTTTTTTTTTTTTTTTTTTTTTTTTTTTTTTTTTTTTTTTTTTTTTTTTTTTTTTTTTTTTTTTTTTTTTTTTTTTTTTTTTTTTTTTTTTTTTTTTTTTTTTTTTTTTTTTTTTTTTTTTTTTTTTTTTTTTTTTTTTTTTTTTTTTTTTTTTTTTTTTTTTTTTTTTTTTTTTTTTTTTTTTTTTTTTTTTTTTTTTGAGGAAACTGTGGTAAGACCAAAGTTTCGGATATCAGTGAGCCAGCAAGAGTCACCTTAAGATCTCCACAGTCATACAAGCCTTAGTGTACAGAGCTTGTACCATGTAAAGGTTGTCCTCTGAACACAATTTGACTTCTTTATTAATCAAATGCCTCGGGCTGCTATCAGAGAGCGGTAATCTGGCTGAATCGGAAAATATTGCGTTGCAAGACTAAGTGGAACGGTGAGGAAGGCACGAACCAGTGTTATGACAGAATAAGTTTGTAAATCATAGCAAGGGACTTTGAAGGGAGCAGGTGGTCATATACCGTGTTTTACGACTGGAAAATTCGCCTAATCCTTCATTCCCCAATGCCTAAGAACCCTAAAATTCTAAGCACGGTCTCGAACGTTCGCATTCGCGGCGCTCGACCGAGTGGCGCGGACGCACCTTCCACCTTTCCATAGACGTAATGAATGTCACGCACCCCTCTTCACTATGCTCTCCGCTAAACGGTTAGTGTCCACGACTAGATCCCGACGAGGGGTTAGCCAGTTGTAGGGCGGGCAGCGCCGTGTGTACGATCTCACTAGAGCGCTGCGGGGCGAATTTCTTTTCCCTGCTTGGCGAACCCGCAAAGTGATAAAACCAATCTTCCTTTCTAGGGGGGTGCCCGCCGGCTAAGCCTCATCGGAATCTAGCCGTGGACACTAGCCGTTTAGCAAAGAGCATAGGCGAAAAGCATGTTGTTCAGGTTGATTACTTTGACACCATGCTAATCGCCCCAATACGGAAATCAAGGGACGGTGAAGGGGGTCCTGCCTCTCCGATTCTATGCCGTTTTTCTTGTTTCTTCATCACTGCATCATGGACATCCTCTTGTGTTACTGTACATAAGGGCTCCGCTTTTATTAGAAAATCGGCTCAGATTTTTGGCCGAGGCATACTCTAATTCTATCTTCGATTTCAGTTTCTTCTTCCAAAATGAATGTAGCCGCTGAATATCTACAAAAATGCTACAAACACGCTTGATTCCTGATCATGTGTTCTAAACGTGCATATGCGCATAAAGATGGGTAATACGTTGCTCTACGTTATAATTACTTTCAATTCAAGACCACAACAGCTCGTTATATGCCCTCATTAGCCGACCAGACGTCAGCTGCTGTGAAAATCCAGGTAAAAACACTTCTAAAGAATGGTATGACATGCTTTGGGATTTAATTTTGCAGGCGTGGTATAGGGGTTGCCGCGAGCGAAAAAGGCCTTCAAGAAACATCTTGAAGAGAGGCGCAATTACATGAACCGCATACCGAGGACAACTCATGCAGCTGAGAGAGCCCCAGTGGACGTGGTGCCGACAAATTGCGTTTGCCCTCTGAGCTCTTCGTCGGTTCATGAAAAGTGGGAGGCAGTTGTTGTCTCTGCATGTTAACACTTACTAGGTTACTGATGATCATCTGACTTTAAGGATTCACGCCGCAGCTTGATTCATGTCTGTTTGATCCGAAAATGTATGTATCGAAAGTGGGCGCATTTATCTTGAGTACGTTCCAATTTTCTATACTTACTTTCTGAAGCAGAGAATAGGAAATTGAAAACAGCTCTTACAGATAGGCTATCAGCATTATCTCCTCATTTATGTGCATATTTGGTAATTGATGCACAAGGGCTGGCAGCCATACTAGACATTTTTGAGCAGAAAACTACTGGCCGCGGTCCTGCCACTGCAGAAATTCTAGTCATACTGCAAGAAGTTTTTCTCCGAATAGTTCAGGTAAGTTACAGTTCATTAAATTCTTGTAGCATGTCGGAGGTCTAGATGATTCTCAGTGTAGCCGAGTTACGTGAACTTCATCGGGCGCTGATGAGAGTTGTCTCTACCGTAGAAGTGCCACAAGCCAGCTGCGAGTAAGGCGTTGCATGCCACACTTTTCCTCTCCTTGCGAAATCAGTTTGGGGAGCTGCGATATGTTATTCACACGTAACGGACGACAGAGGTTTTCGCGTGCGCCACCACGTGGCGCATGCCGCCACACAGAGTAGGAATTCGGTAGGCATATGCGAACAGGGGGTAACGGGCTACAGCATGTTTCTGTGTCCGGTCTTTCGAACGAAGTGGTTTTCGTTGACGACAGCCACGCGACTCGCTTTTTCTATCTGAATATAAGGTGCAAGGGATGAATAGAAGCTACAGGTGACATCTTCGACCATTGCGAAACAACTACCCTGAGCAGAGGAGAGTGGCCATCTTTAGGGGAGGGAGTGTCGGGACATGCGGGCAGGCCATCGGTAAGCCATTCATCAATTAGAAAGAGTTGAAAATGAATACAAAGTGTATATGAAACTTGTTCTGAGAGGTGTTGTACTTAGTTTGAAATTAAGTGCGGTAGCGTAATTAGCGGATTAAGGAAGTAACGGATGGTAGGTCACTTCGCGCTTCCCCAAACTTGCCTGTGGGATGACCTTACTTAATTGCTTGCTTGAATAGCTGACATTTCTGATCAGCTCCAGGACAACAAAACGAAGCAAGTGGAATAATATTTGAGTGAACTACTGTTTTTGAGCCAATTTTTGAGTACTGATGAAACTTTGTTAACTTTGGCGACAATGGCACCCACCGGTGTGTGCCACTCTGTCCATCGTGTGGGACAATGGCACCAAATGTTGGGTGTCACCTTGAAATTTTGTTCTTTGCACATTTGAATTTTTTTTCAATTTTTCTATCTATAAGCAGGTATAATAATGTCTATGTTCAGCAGGATTCATAGAAATGTTCAAGAAGAGCTAACATATGGGAATGTTTTAAAATGTGGCGTTTAGCCCGCCAGCATGCAGGGATTCTTCATGACTGGGTTAGGTATAAAGTACTAATCAAGACTTCTTCGCCCTTCACTGTTTTCAGACACATGGAGAAACTTGGACTGTACCAAGAATTTCTCTATTCACATGAACTACAAGAGTTCTTACCTCCCATCCCTTTGGAATCCGATTTCTCCTTCCAACACTTCCAATTTTTTGCCAGCAATATATCAATGTGAAATTTTAAGACTGCAGCTATATTTTGTGCATTGCAAAGGTGGAAATCTGATAGAAAAACTGCTTTTATAGAAAATTTTGCCCAATGTTGTCTGGCGAGTGTCTGGTGCACCAAGAATCGCGTGGTCCCACGAGCACGTTAGGTGCAAATCGCATTGTCGTCAAAGGGTTGATATCGTACAAATTATTGGAAACAAAACTGAAAGCCAACAAAAAAATGCATGTGATCCCTACTCTATGTGAATATCTATACGAATATTTCAACAACTATATTGCCTTATTAACAACGTAACTAGACATTTTCTCAGCTGTCGTCGCGAACCAGCAACTTAGACCATCACTAAGGAAGAAACACCTTCGTTATAAAGCGCCACGTATAAATACTTTCAAGAATTCTGTTCTTGCAATATTCACAACGATCGCAGTAAGAAATTCTTAACTGAAATTGACTAGTGTTAAACGTGTTCAAACTCATGTGAATTTTTGATTTGCTTCCTTCAATATTTTGTATAACATTGATAAAGTTTCATCAATACTCAAAAATTGGCTCAAAAACAGTAGTTCACTCAAATATTATTCCACTTGCTTCGTTTTGCTTGTTTTGGAGCTGTCCAGAAATGTCAGTATTCAGCGCAAGCAATTAAGTGGGGTCATCCCACAGGCAAGTTTGGGAAATGCGAAGTGACCTGCCGTGCGCTACAGTAATCCGCTAATTACGCTACCGTACCCAGTTTCAAGTATCTCCACTCCTGAAAACATGGTGTACTGGTCGTGCTCAATGGGGTCGTGGACGGACCCCATACCATTACGACGTTTTCTGAAAAGCGGGTTCCGAGGGGGTTTGCATATTCAGAGCTAATGTTTCTAGGAAACTATCCAACGATGAATCGATTCAAGAAATTATGTAAGAGCTTCAGGCTGAAGCAGTTACTGTAGGCCTCCGTGAGCTCGACGACGATGACAGATGACGTCATATTCTGAAGACGGTGAGGCAGTGAAGGAGGGCTTGCGTCTACTAATAGAGGGGCATTTGAGGAATATTTTGCTGAAGAACTTCCGTGCGACGACAATCTGCGACGAAAAAAAAAACGCTAAGTGCGACATAGGCAAAATGTCTTTTTTATTCGTCCCCCTGTATGCTATTTTCATTGCTGATAGTATACAAGGGTATATTTAGATCATTAGAAATATTACAAAAAACAGAAACAATGGTGCGCCACTATGTGGTGCACATCATCCGTTACTTGTGAGGTACGCTGATATGTTTTAGTGCTCACATCCTTCGGTCAGCGCAGAAGTGGATGCTAATATAGGAGATTGTGTGAGAGTTTCACTTCACATATTCCATGCGTTTTACAATAATCCTGTGATCGTGCACGGCTTTGGACGTGCAATATTGGCACTATATCGTCGACCGAGTGCCAAGCCACATTTCGAAAAAGCAAAATTCTACCTCAACTACGCGTCTAAAAGGTAACGAGTTGAGATCTGTTACCGTTGGAGTATAGATAAGTTTTCGCTACACTGCTGAAATTCCAGGTTCGCTCGTTTGGCTGGCACTGATCCACGCAAAATCATGCTGTCAGAAATGAGGAACGAGATGTTGTCTAAATGAATAACAAACTCGTCATATGATATATATCGAAGTAATCATCCTTGTACCTCATGTTATTCGTTTACAATGTCACTCACTTCCCATTGTCTTCTAAATGGGGCCTTTTCTTGAAGCATGGGTTTCCACACTTAGAATCGAGCAGATTTCTTGTGCATTAGTAAGTAATAAATAATGTCCGAACATGTATTGGAACTATCAGAAGAAAGAAGACGTGCAGTGTTGTCTCAAAAACTTCGCGACATCCAGAGAAATCTATCCAATTTTCGTGCTAATCCCTCTATTATATAAACCGCTAACTTGCTAACTTGTAACATACAGGCATCCAGACGAACAATTTCCTTAATAGCGATCAATCGGGAACCCCTTTTTTGGAAATTTTCGCATCCTATCCCAAGTGCTCTGTTTGAAAGTCCAAAATTGGGTACGTGAACACTTTCTATCCACGGCAGGGGTGGAGTCTGTAGCGTATCCAGCAAGATTTTTCCATTCATTTTTTCATCGTGGGAGTACGAAAGTTGCAAAGGTGGGATTTTTCTGCATGTTGTAACGTATATGACTGCTGCAGATGTACACGATTCCAGAACACTAGAAGTGTCTGATCTGAGGATATCTCGTACTTGTGATATTGGTTGTTTCTCGGTGTGAAAAACTTGGCGTCATGTTCGGCTTCCAAGATAGAATGAAGAGACTCGCACATAGTGCAAAGAATTAAATGACGGAAATGAAAGTCTCCGAAAAAAAGTAAAACACGACGCCACACTAGGCTGTTCTCATACTTTTTATCAACACTCAGTAGCTTGGCGACCTGCTTGATGGCGTTCTCACTGTGTTGTTGGACCCTGAATAGACGAAGTATATTTCGAATCTGTTGCTCCTTAAAGGCACGGGTCGGCATTGTATTAGTGAATTATTCTTTTCGAAAAATAGAGGAGGCGCCATGAAGAACATAAGGGGCAGGGAAAAGCAAAGCCGGCACAGAAATGATGTTCTGCCGCTCAAGTGGTCAGCAACATCGCGCGCAGCACTTGATACGGCAATTTCTTTGTGAGCCTTGGTTTACCCACCCATGTCCACAGATTGCGGGTGAGGCTAGGTTGCTGATAAGACCAGAGTGCTATCAGTGAGCCAGTAAGCGTCGCCCCTTATGATCTGCCGCAATGATTCAGGGCTCACAGTACAAAGCTTGTGCCATGCCAAGGTTGTACTCTTGAATATAATATATATGATATACATTTGACCTTTTTATCAATCAACTGCCGGGATTCCTATGAGAAAGTGATAATCTGAATTAATGTGAAGGAACATTAGCCTGCGCGTTCACTGCGTTGCGCAAAATCCAAATTTTTTACGACCCCCCCCCCCTCATTGAGCGTGTGTGTTTTGTTTTGTTTTGTTTTGTGTGCTGAAAGCTCAAAAACTCGAATGTACTGCTCAAAAACCTATGGGAAAAAATGTTCGAACGTGTGATTTTTTCGAAAAATGGATTTTGAAAAACGGTTTGGTGCTTGTCAGAAAGAGCAAATCCTGTGCTTTCACACCATGAAAAGTGCATCACAGAAATGGAAACGAAGTGAGTTGTGCCCGCTTAAAGCCCAAAAACTCACGATTTCAAATGTGTTCGGCAAAACCCTCTGAAATGTTCGAGGGTTTTGCCGAACACATTTGAAATCGCGGCCTGAGGCCGGATCTCAAATGGAAAGAGCAAATTGTGTACTTTCACACCATGAAAAGCGCATCACAGAAATGGAAACGAAGTGAGTTGTGCCCGCTTAAAGCCCAAAAACTCACGATTTCAAATGTGTTCGGCAAAACCCTCTGAAATGTTCGAGGGTTTTGCCGAACACATTTGAAATCGAACAAACGACTCCTAAAAGCAAAAACAAAAACAAACAACATTCTGACAAACAAAATGGGAGGCGGTCATATGGCGCGGTCACATTGCCATTGGGGCGCATGGGCTGTAGTTGCCACCCCAGGCGCCGCCCATATCCCGGCCAAATAACTCGTCCGGATCACCGAACGAATAGATTATCGTGGTTGATCGGTCTGCAATAGAGCGCGCCAGAGTAGACTGGATTGCAGAGCCTCCCAAGCTCACCATTCTTGACTCTTCTTCCGGCTTCATTCTTGCGCTGAGTTCGCACTGCACACTTCAACTATTAGAATGACTGTAGAGTTACTTCGAAGTGATTGTATCACGATCATTTTGGAACTGTGATACATTGCACTTTCCAGCAACTTACAGTGGATGACAACAATTACTATACGTGGTAAGTATTGTTAAGTCTTTTTCTGTTCAGGGAACAGTATTGGAAAGTCTATTGCTTTGACTAAACTAGGCGCTTTTTTTAGGAACCATTCTTGAAACCTATTCACAATGGCCTTTTTGTGTACGAACCATCTAAACCTAAACAGTACTACGGTTGATCAGCTCACTTGGAGTCTTCAGCTGCAGTTTTATTATTTCTCATCCCTTTTTGTTATTTTGCCATCACCTGCGATCCACTTCACTAACTTGTTCGGTGTAATATTCTCGAATTCACCCCTCTTTGAGTTCTTTGGTGAATTTCTATGTCCTGCCTCACCTTTTGAGAATGACACTCATCAGTAATTATTACTAGAGGAGACAATAAAACGTGCAATGTTGCACATGATATGCCTAAGGGACTCGCAAGGACACAGAGATTGGGATGAGATATGCTTTTGGCAAAGTAGAACTGAATCACAAGTGTAGAAAACAGGGATCTCATTACCCCAACAAGGGGATCGCTCAGTGGTATGGGATTTGATTGATGAGAGAACATCAAAGATAACACATTCAAGTGACAGAAGACGAATAACTCGGTTAGGAGAGTCCAATCAGATTAGAAAAACGAGCTGCTGTTGTCTCGAACGCTTTGGGTCTTTTCCAACAGGGGCATGTGGTGCGGTTTTTGTACTGCGTACAGTGCAAGGGGAAACCCTCAAGGTGCGTGGGTCATTTCTCTTCCATTTTAACATCCCAGAGCTCCTCACCCTGCAAAATTTCTGTGTGGTCAGAATAGCACGTCGACATAATTTTCCCTTTCTTTCACGCATAGTTAGACAAAATCTATAACGGCATCCTTATCTTAGAAAGCTATAAGAAATAAACCAGCAAAACTGCTTAAATAATATCATATTCATGCACGGTGATTGATTCTCACGCATTCATCAATTAGCAGAAAATCAAGGAGTCTCAATACTTATCTCACAGCTTTCGGGAGAAGCAAATCCAAAAAACCACTGCTGGTGAAGTCACAACGAAACTTGGATACATGAAACTTGGATACCAACCCACAATGAAACTGTTTTCTGAACAAAAAAAAACTGAACAATAGTTACCTACCTCGTATCGGAATTATTGTCATCCACTGTAAGTTGCTGGAAAGTGCAATGTATCACAGTTCCAAAATGATCGTGATACAATCACTTCGAAGTAACTCTACAGTCATTCTAATAGTTGAAGTGTGCAGTGCGAATTCAGCGCAAGAATGAATCCGGAAGAAGAGTCAAGAATGGTGAGCTTGGGAGGCTCTGCAATCCAGTCTACTCTGGCGCGCTCTATTGCAGACCGATCAACCACGATAATCTATTCGTTCGGTGATCCGGACGAGTTATTTGGCCGAGATATGGGCGGCGCCTAGGTGGCAACTACAGCCCATGCGCCCCAATGGCAATGTGACCGCGCCATTTGGGATACACCAAAAAACTATTGACTGATATTTGAATGGAAAAATTCGCGCCCTTACCGGGCTAGGTGGCCTGGAGCGCATTTTCCACTGCTCGGGACGGGAAATCAAGGGGAAATGAAATTATATTGCTTTAATTTGAGTAAATCAGGATTTTTTTTCTAAAATCAGGTACATTTTTGTTCCCAGGGCTTTGTAATTTCAGGTATCTGCCAAGATTTCCGCGGACTTCCTAATCTGCTTTCCGTATGACCCGATATACTAGGTTTGATGTAGTTACGGACCCCTTATTTAAAAGCTTATAACTTCGCTCGCAGTCATTCTCATGGAACCGGACACCAAAATTTTAAAAATTCAAATAGTTTTCTTTATAAAAAGCGTTTGAAATGTTGCAAATGTGCTATAATTTAAAAAATCGTACCGTCGTTCCGTTTCCTGTGCACACGCGAGTTTTTGACATTCAAACATTCATAACTTTCTTCATAATTCAACTTTTTGCAAATGTTCAAGGCTAATTAGAAACTGGAAGATTAGCGCTTCTAAACAAGCACCTGAAAATTTTCCAAGCGATCATTCTCTCAAAAAATAGTCCCGTTGTTCCGTTCTTGGGTGGTTTGGGGTCCGATTTTTGAGAAGGCGCGAGTTTTCGACATTCAAACGTTAATAACTTTCTTCATACTCAACATTTTGCAGATGTCTAAGGCTAATTAGAAACTAGAGGATTAGAGCTTTCGAATAAGTGCTAAAACTTCTTGAAATAATCACTCGCTCAAAAAATAGTCCCGTTGTTCCGTCAATTCCACCTTGATTCTTTTTCTAAGCCTTTTTCCTAAGACGCAACTTTGCGATCTTCAAAGACTCATAACTTCCCTAAAAGTCAATAAAATGAGAAGCGGTAAAGACCGCTGAAATCTACGCGATGAGTACTTCAAAACTGGTGTGAAAATTTTCGGAGTTCATTCTTCTGCCTCAAGCTCGTAAGGGGTCTTTAAAGTCCGATTCAGCAAGCTCGCTACACTTTGTTTCGCGCTTGAATTTATTTGAAAGCATCGAAACTCTCTTCAGAAAGTTTGTCTGCTTACGGCCGCTGACAGAGGAGGCGTTTTTATGGGAAAACGCCTCGGGTATACGCCGTGCACCTATCTGTGGGCAGAGTTCGCACTCGCATTTTGAAAAGTCTTCTGTTTTCCTGAAGAAGGTGTTAGTATCCTGATTGAGTTGTATTGTGCTGTTATATGGCACTCTTGTTTCACTTTCCCATGAACTGCTCTACACTTTGTTCTCCTCGGG